AAAAAAAAAAAAAAAAAAAACTGCTCTGGGGGTGCTTGGGTGGCTCAGCTGGTTAAGAGTCTGAATTTTGATTTCTGCTTAGGTCATGATCTCTGCTTAGGTCGTGAGTCAGAAGCTCAACCAACAGCAGGGAGGCTGCTTGGGATTCTCTCTCTTTGGCCCTCCTCTGCTCACTTGCATGTGCTTGCACACATTCTTTCTCTCTCTCTCTCAAAGTAGATAAACATTTTTAAAATTTTGTTTATTTTACTTAAAACAATTTTTCAATTTTTTAATGTTTATTTATTTTTAGGAGAGAGAGAGACAGAGTGTAGGGGCGGGGGGAGGAAGAGAGAGAGAGGGAGACACAGAATCCAAAGCAGGCTGTAGGCTCTGAGCTGTCAGCACAGAGCCCAATGTGGAGCTCAAACCCACGAGTTGTGAGATCATGGCCTGAGCTGAAGTCAGATGCTCCACTGACTGAGCCATCCAGGTGCCCCTTATTTATTTATTTTTGAGAAAGAGAAAATATGAGCTGGGGAGAGGCAGAGAGAGGAGAGAGAGAGCATCCCAAGCAGGCTTGCACTGTCAGAGCAGAGCCTGACACGGGGCTCAAACCCATGAATCGAAGTCAGAAGCTCAACCAACTGAGCCACCCAAGTGCCCCAAACATTTTTTTAAAAAATAATTCTTTTAAGAAAAGAAACTACTCTGGATAATTACAACACACAGCCAGTTTTGAGACCCAATGTCATCGGGCTCAGATTATTTGAGTACTTTGCTGGGGTACTTAACGCATTCTTCAGCCTATTCTTGAGGCAAAAAAAAAAAAAAAAAATCCTGTTGTTTTCCTTGTTTCAGTCTAAAAATGAGGGTACCTAAAGTGAGGGAATTTACCCATGTCCCTCTTACTTACAAATAGAAATGAAATGAAATAATTCCACTTAAAAGTAATGATTCCCAAAAGTTGCATCATGTATTTCTTAGTTCCCCAGTTTTCTGGAAAGCATGCTGTGTGTCATACACCCATTAGTACCTAATCATGTCCCAAAATTAAAGGTGGAGAGTGATTTGGATCCTATTTTCTTCTTGGCCTACAGGTTGACTTTCAAGCTGTGCCACATGTACTGGAACTGGCCTGGCACCATCAGAGTCCCAGCTCCCTGCAAGTATGCCCACAAGCTAGCTTTTCTGTCAGGACAGATCTTGCATCATGAACCAGCCATCCAGCTGTGCGAAAACCTGTTCTTCCTGTGACTGGGCAGCCAGGATATGGGTGCTTAGGGAGATTAGACTTCTGAACTCAGCTGCAACTCAGGCAGGATCAAGAGGGACCCAAGGGGTTTTTGTGTTGGTGGTGGGTTGTTGTGTGTGTGTGTGTGTGTGTGTTTTTTTACCAACCTGGTAGAATAAGATTTCTTTTTTCTTTTTTTTCTGTTTTATACCTGATATCACCAAGAAGTAAGTTCCATTTCTAAATATCAGCTGGAAATTTCCTTGTTGCCTTTGTAGAGCAAGTGGTGGCAGTACAGGTCCTGTATATATGGAGGGGGTGAATACAAGGGAACCTCTAAAAGCCCCCATAGCCAACATGAGCTGTGGAAACCTGCAGAAACAGCAGTTACACCTTGTAAGTTATGCTTACTAAGCACTTCCTATTTCTGTGCCAGAGGTGATAATGAATGAAGTCATTCCAAGTTTCTTGAAGTAGAGAGTTACTTTATTTGGGCAACTGAGAAAGGTAGTAAAAACACCTGTGAGGCAAAGTTTTTCTAGATATTGTGATTGCTAGTAAGTGTGAAAGGCACGTAGTAAAACCAGCTGGTGGCTAGTCAAGTCCTACTGACCTAATCTTGTCTGGGAATTGAGTTTATGACACCTGTGCCTAGAGTTGGCTTTGAAGCTTTGAAAGGGGCATTTAGCCATTCCTTGGCCTCCTGCGAAAGGCCAGATGAAGTTTTTTTCTGTATATTTTAGTTGCTTTACAGTGTACCATGTTGATTTCTTCCTACACCACCTACCCCGCCCACCCCACCCCCCCACACATTGGCTCTTTGTTATTGATCTTTAATAAAGTTTCAGCTTTTAAATTAAGAATCAGAACACGGTGAAATTCAACAGCTAGGAAGATTCATGATGGAGTGAGTCTTTCTTAAACCTTTTTCCTGGGTGTGTGGCCTTCTTTTCGTTGATGTGTTTGTAAATGGAATCACTCATTTCCCTTGCTCAATAACCTATTCCTGGCTGTTGGCTCATATTGTTAGGAATTTTTCTGAATCCAGCTTAAGATTTCCAAAAGTCAGCTTTGGAAAACATGACACTCCTGCGAGAGTCCAGACATTTCAGCTTAGAAAATTGTCAATATGTCTGTGGGGTTTTTTTGTGTTTATTTTTCCCTGTTTTAAAATCCTCTGACCCCTTCAGGGTTAATTCAGTTTTAACTTGCTTTAACTGGTTTTAAACGCCAATTTTATTTACCCATTTCAAATTTGTATTTATTTATTTATTTTTTGGTGTGATGGCAGGGAGGGGACAAAGCAGAAACTCCCATTTTATATAATAGTGTCTGAGAAGAGAAACTTTAGCTTAAAACTCCTTAGAAGAATAAAAGCAAGCAAGTTTTCAGTTTGTTGCAGTGCCCCACAGAGGTTGAGGAACTTTGAATGAGTGTTGCTAGTCCTGAAGTGCACTCCTAGTTTCATTTAGAGTGTGGGACATAGGGCAAGGCTAAAGCCTGGAATTTAAAACCCACTGAATCAAACAAATTGGACCACTGGTCTCCGTCTCAACAGATCAGCTTTCTGATTCTCTGTGGAAGCATTTTGAATTTCTCTTTTGAAGTTGGATTTCCTAATACTCATTTTCTCTTATATAATCAGAAAAGACAAATGCTTGAATATAATACAAAATTTCTTCATTTTTTATTCCTGTTCTCTTGCTTTTTTTTTTTTCAGTCTTAGTGTGCAATGATTGGGCTGTGGGGTGGGAAATAAATAAAAACAAATTTGTATAAACATGTAGTTGTATTTGAAATAGTGCTGTTGATATATTGATATAGTTCTTTTCCTTTGTAGAGCTGTATAGCATTTGTTAGAATTACTGATTTATTACTCAGCAAGCAAGGTGCAGCTTCAGTAATATTAGGTAATTTCACTGTGATCTGGTAGTAAGATTTCTTGGAAAATAAGACTAATAGTCTTCTGGGACAATTGAGGGGTGTGTGTGTATGTGTTGTTTTTCAAATCTGTTTTCCCATCAGACAGTTTCTATTAGCCTATGTGAAAGCTCCAAGAGTGGCCTCTTCTCTCCCCTTATTCTAATGCTTGCCCTTCTTTCCATATACTTTACAGTGTGTCTGTACCCCCTTAAAAATACCTTCCCAAAGCACCCTGGTTGCTTGCTTCACTACTACATCTCTTTCAGTTTATTTAGAAACTCCATTCTGAAATGGTGCAGTGCTTCTTGAACTCATTCTCAAGAGAACCAATTTTTTAAAAAGTAGGCTCTTTGCCCAACATGGGACTTGAACTCATGACCCCAGATCAAGAGTCACATGCTCTACGGACTGAACCATCTAGCCACCCCTAGACAGAACCTAATTTCTGTACAATGTTATAGGGCCCTTTTCATTGGGCAACATTTTGTTGAATGGTGTGAAAAAGGAAGAAGTTTTTTTAAATGACTGTCTCTCTACATTGAAAACAAAATTTGTGCCTGAAATTTCTCAGTGATTTGAGATTATTGGAGAAGACCCTACTTTCACTTTGTGGCTCCATACCTAGCTTTATCTGAGTTTCTTAGTTTTCCTGTCTGGATTTATTTTGTTTTTTTTAAAAAATGAGGAAAATCAAGAGAATGAGAAAATGACCCATAGACTAGGAGAAAGTATTTGCCAAAAATATTGGTAAAAGACTTATCCAAAATATACAAAGAACTCTTAATAGGAAGAAAACAAACAGCCAGATTAAAAATTGGGCAAAAGACATGACCAGACTTCTCATTAAAGATATATACTTGGTAGGGGCGCCTAGGTGGCCCAGTTGGTTTAGAATATGACTTCGGCTCGGGTCATGATCTCACAGTTAATGGGTTCGAGCCCGTCATCAGGCTCTGTGCAGACAACTCAGAGTCTGGAGCCTTCTTCCGATTCTGTGTCTCCCTCTCTGCCCCTCCCCCACTCACACTTTGTCTCTCTCTCAAAAATAAACATTAAAAACTTAAAAAAAAAAGATATACACTTGGCAAATAAGTATATGAAAAGATGCTGAGCATCACATGTCAGTACAGAATTACAAATTAAAACAAGATACACACCCAGTAGAATGGCCAAAATCCAGAACACTGACAAAATCAAATGTTGACAAGGATATGGAACAATTGAAACTTCTGTTCATTGCTGGTAGGAATGCAAAATGGTACAACCACTTAGGAAGACAGTTTGGCAGTTTTTTTACATACACTCCAAAAGAGGTAACACTGACTGAATGTATAAAAAAGATCCATGTATACTGCCTAGAAGAGACTTAACTTCAGACCTAAAGACACCTGCAGGCTGAAAGTGAAGAGATGGAGAAGCATTTATCATGCAAATGGAAGTGAAAAGAAAGCTGGCATAACACTACTTGTCATCAAACAAAATAGACTTTAAAAGAAAGACTAATAAAAGTCAAGGGGCTGCCTGGTTGACTCAGTTGGTGGAGCATGCTCTTGATCTTGTGAGTTCGAGCTCCGCATTGGGGGTAGAGATTACTTAAAATAATAAAATGGTTAAAGTAGCAAAGGTTATGTGTGCTTTATTCCAGTTAAAAAAATTTTTTAAGCAAAAATGGACACGATATGGGGCGCCTGGGTGGTTCAGTCGGTTGAGCAACTAACTTCAGCTCAGGTTATGATCTCAGGGTTCGTGGGTTCAAGCCCCACGTGAGGCTCTGTGCTGACAGCTCACAGCCTGGAGCCTGCTTCGGATTCTGTGTCTCCCTCTTTCTCTGCCCCTCCCCTGCTCATTCTCTGTCTCTTTCTATCAAAAATAAATAAATGTTAAACAAAACTAAAAAATAAATGGACACTATATGATCATAAAGGGAACAATCTATCATGAAGATATAAAAATTGTAAATATACACCCAAGGTGGGAGCACCCAAATACATAAAGTAACTGATAACAAACATAAAGAAAGTAATTGATAGTAATATAATGGTAGCAGGGGACTTTAATACCCCACTTAGATCAATGGATAGATCACCCAAACAGAAAATCAAGAAGGGAATGGTGGCTTTGAATGACACATTGGACCAGGTGGACCTAACAGCTATATTCAGAACATTCCAGCAGAATAACACATTCTTTTCAAGTGCACATGGAACATTACCCAGAACAGATTACATGGTAGGCCACAAAACAAGTCTTAACAAATTAGAGAAGATGAAGTCCTGCCGTGCATCTTTGCTGACCATGGTCTGAAATTAGCAATCAACCACAAGAAAAAAATCTGGAAAAGACACAAATACATGGAGGTAAATAACATGCTACTAAACAATGAGTTGGTCAAAGAAGAAATCAATGAGAAAATTAAAAAATTCACGGAGAGACAAATGAAAACACAGCAACACAAAATCTTTGGGATGCAGCAAAAGGTGTTCTAAGAGAGAAGATTATAGCAATATAGGCCAACCTCAAGAAACAAAAATTCAAATTAACAACCGAACTTCACACCTAAAGGACTAGAAAACAAAACCGAAAACCAGTAGAAGGAAGGAAATAATAAAGATTAGAGCAAAAATAAATGAAATAGAAACTAAAAAAAAAAAAAAAAAAAAAAAAAAAAAAAAAAAAAAAAAAAAAAAAAATCAATGAATTCAGGATCTTTCTCTGAAAAGACAAAATTGATAACCCTTTAGCCAGACTCCTCAAAAACTAAACCTACTCTTACCATATTCTCTGGCAGTCAGTCACACTCCTTGGTATTTGCTATTTGCTCAAATGTGTTGAAAACTTATGTCCACACAAAAACCTGCATGCAGATGTTTATAGCAGCTCTATTCGTTAACTGCCAAAACTTGGAAGCAACCAAGATGTCCTTCAGTGGGTGAAAGGATAAATAAAATGTGGTACATCCAGATAATGGAATATTATTCAGCAGAAAAAAAAATCATGCCACAAAAAGACATGGAAGAAACCTAAATGTTTATTACTAACTGAAAAGCCAATCTGAAAAGGTATATGCTGTGTGATTCCAAATATTCTGGTGAAGGGAAAA